GTTTGCAAGAGATTATTCAAAAAATTATTACTCTGACTCAGGGTTCGAGGGAAGGCCGCTTAAAGCATCATTCTATAGAGACAGCTTCTCTCTTTTAGCACTGCGATCACCAGTTTAGTCTCACGTTTTCTCAATTTTGTATAATTTTTTAACTTTTCGGTTTGAAGATGCTGTTTTGCTTCCACCAACTCTCTCTGATTCCGCGTTAAGAAGAAGGCTGCTTTCAGCATAAATTAATAGATGCCATTTTCCTCTATTAATATGGCGATCACCAGTTTATTCTCACTTTTCCTCGATTTAGGTGAGTTTTTAAAGTGTGAGGTGTCAAGGTGCTACTTTGCTCCCGCCAGGTTTACGTCACATTTTTCAAAAAATCGTGACTCTAACCGGTGCCCCGAAACAAGGCTACTTTAAGCATCATTATATAGAGACAGCTTTTCTCGATTAGCACTGCGATCACGAATTAAGCCTCACGTTTCCTCAATTTTATGTATTTTTTTAACTTTACGGTTTCAAGATGCTGTTTTGCTTCCACCAAGTTTGCAACAGATTTTTTTCTATCGACTCTAATTCCGCGCTAATAAGAAAGCTGCCTTCAGCATCATTTAATAGAGGCCATTTTCCTCTATTAATATGGCTATTGCCAGTTTAATCCCACTTTTCCTCGATTTTGGAGAGTTTTTTAAGTGTGAGGTGTCAAGGTGCTATTTTGCTCCCGCCAGGTCTACAACACATTTTTCAAAAAATTGTGATTCTAACCGGTGACCCGAAACAAGGCTGCTTTAAGCATCATTCTATAAAGACAGCTTTTCTCTTTGAGCACTCCAATCACCAATTTAGTCTAACGTTTCCTCAATTTTGTGTAATTTTTTAACTTTACGGTTTCAAGATGCTGTATTGCTTCTACGAAGTTTGCAACAGATTTTTTTGCGACTCTAAATCCGTTTTAGAAAGAAGGCTGCTTTAGGCATCGTTCTATAGAGGCATCTTTTCTCTATTTATACTGCGATCGCCACTTTAGTCTCACTTTTCCTCGATTTTGGAGAGTTTTTTGGGTGTGAGGTTTCAAGGTGCTGTTTTGCCCTGTCTGGTTGGCAACACATTTTTCAGAAAATCGTAACTCTAACCGATAATAAGGATCCAGGCTGCGTTCAGCTTCATTTAATGGAGACAACTTTTCTATATTAAGTCTACAATCACCCATTTAGATTCGCATTTTCCCAAATTTTGCGAGTTCTTCCAATGAATGAGTTGGAGGGCTGTTTTTCTTCCATCAGGTTTACAAGAGATTTTTCAAAAACGCCTCACTCAAAGTCGGAAGTACTTTTGGAGTGTCTTTTGCTACCATTTAACAGAAGACGTGTTGGTCTGTTCAATAATATTCAAATATTGGTGTTCAATAATTTAATTTTTTCTACTTCAGCGTTTAAAAATGCAGTTTGGTTTTTGAAAATTGTGAAATTAAACGAGAATCAACTAGAAAACTTGTTTCAAGGTCTGTAGCTTTGAAGAAATCTTCTTTTATTTATCCTGCAGGCCTAACTTTTTCAATTTCCAGATATTTTTATGTTTGAGTTAGTTGAGGTCTAAAAATGCAGTTTGGATGCCGCTTGGTTTACCCGAGGGTTCTGAAAAGTTTGCCGCTCAAAATAACTTTGATTTAAAGGGTCGCTTTCAACATTGCTGAGTAGAGGAATCTTTACTCTATAAATCCTGAAGACTCCATTTTCTCTAACTTTTCAGTAGTTATTGAGAATTTTTGAACAATAACTCCAGGTTTGAGTTTTTCTGGTAAAATTCTCGTAAGTTTCTTTAAATGAACTCACGAAGGGCCTAATTCTTTAACGGAAAAAGTTACATTTTTAGCGTTTTCTATGCGATATTAATGTGTTGTTACAGATTGTCCACTCCAAAATACAGCTTGAGCTGCGTGACAATTGGCGTGACAATTTCCCTCATCTACCTGGGCCGACATGTAAGTAAACGCTGATTTTTTCACTATACATATAAATATACGAACTTTCCATAAATAATAATGTGTGCAATCAAGCCGGGTCTCCATCGAATCATCCTCTACAAGCACAGAACAGAGCATCTGGCCTAACTGCTTAATCTTCATCTAGATGAACAAAGTCCAGCGAGTGCTTTTCCTTTGGCGTTGCGAAGTCAAAGAGCAACGCCGCTGCGCTGAAGACTTAAAGCGAAGAAACGAAGCGCTGGTTTACAACATTCTGCCCTCCCATGTGGCCGCCCATTTCATGGGGAACCGCAACCGAAACCACGACGAACTCTATTCGCAAAGTTACGAGGAAGTCGGTGTTCTGTTCGCTTCCATGCCTAACTTTTCAGGTTAGAACCCGCTGAAAAACTGGCCAAGTTTCGACTAATCTTTGGCCCGATTTTTTAGACTTTTACTCCGAAGAGACTGTCAACAATCAAGGCCTAGAATGTTTGCGTTTCCTCAACGAAGTGATTTCGGATTTTGACGCTGTAAGTACACACAAGATTTCCACATCGCCCAGCATGGGCTTAGAGGATGTTTTTTTCAGCTACTGGAACTTCCTCAGTACTGCGATATAATAAAAATTAAGACTATCGGCTCCACCTACATGGCAGCCAGCGGCCTAAATCCCTCAAGACTAATACAGGTA